ACATGCGAAAAATCTAATAGAAATAACGAAAATTAATCAATCCATATTCTCAAGTTTTTGGATACAATCAAACCCTAAATAATGAATTTAGCTCATGATGTAATTTATGAAAATCCTAAAATTCATATAAAAAGATATGGGAAAGAGAATAGGAAAATTAGAATGTAGATCTTCAATTTCCTCCCTTGTTCTTCTTTGTCTTGTTCTTAAATCTTTTGATATTTTTCTTCCTTGCCTTCTTGAAACATTGTGTTGAATTCCCCATTTCCCTCTTGAACCGTTCTCCCCTTTAGAATTAGGCTTTAAATGTTGTATTTATAGTATTTTAAAGTCTTAGAAGAGTTGGAGTCGTGTTGAACCAAGAAAAGAGTCCAAAAAACTCAAAAACCTTTTTTCTTGCCCAATTGCGCCTCGGCGCCACAATCGTGGCGCTACGGCACCCAGTTGCTGTTGAATTTCAGCAACGGTGGCGCTACATCGCCACTATTGCTGTGCCCAGTTCGTATGAAAATTCAGCTGTCGTTCAGTATCTTTATCATATTTTTTCTACCGGTATCTGATTGAGGTGATTCAAGATGTGTTGGAAAAATAACTCTAAGAGCTACAACTTTGCTTTAGATCATTTTCCAATTCGAACATTTTCTATGTCAAAAATGAGTCTCAATATGAGACTAAAATTTCGAAGCATAACTTTTTTTGTTGGAAATTGATGTGTGATCATACTTTGCCTATAATTCATCCATTTGACTTCTTTTTTCATCCAATTGACTCCTAACACTCAAATCTTCATTGTGAGGTCAAACACAATTTTGGAGTATTTTCACTTTAGTACCCAAACATTGGATCTCTTACAATTTAACCATCTTCTCGAGTTTTGTCAACTTTTGCTTATTTCCTTCATTTTGATCAACTTATATGACAATATCAAAACACACACTAAAACGTCCTAAATTTCTCTCAAGGATAACAAAATAATGAATTAAATGGCATAAATATCATGTGTAGAACACTCATCACAACAATAGAGCTATTCAAATTGCCGCTAATCCAGTATGTCATAAGCGCACTAAACACATTAAAATGGATTGTCACTTTATTCGTGAGGCTTACGATGATCGCATTATTTCTCTTCCATATATCACCAATGATGCTGAGATTGGTGATGGGTTTACTAAGGCGACGAAAAGACAATGACGTCAATTTCTAGCAGCAAATTGATGCTTCTTGATCGTCCAGCATCAATTTGAGGAGAGATGTCAAGGAAGATTGACGAAGATTATCTAATATTTCTTTACCAAAATTACACAAATAATTGATTATATATTGTCGTGATTATGTGTATCATATTTAGGATGCATGTAATTTCTGTTTAGTAGAAGAGACCCAAAACGGGAACAACATTCAGTCAAAAGATTTTACATAAATTTCACCCCCTTTGAATCTGAATATAATATTTGCTAGTCAAGCCATTCAATCCAGCCTTGTAAGACCACTTGTGCAATTGCTGATCAATAGTCTCAAATTTAATCTTGGTCCACAGTTGTGAGGTCCAATGGCTGCACCAAGTGAAGTTATTTGATTATTTCCATGTATCAGTCTGGCCAACTTCTCGAGTACATAGTTGAAGACTCCATAGGATGCCCACTGAGAACAAAGATAATCGCCACTGACATAGGAATACAAACTATATTGCATTGAAACAAAGGCTCACATTATTAGTCAAGATAGGATCGCTGTATTATCGTTGGACATGCTCACCCATCAAAGAAGTCTGGCTGTCCCTTTGTTGAAATTTCGGTTGCGTTATACTCCTCAAGTTCTCTACAGCCATCAGACATTACTCCCCTCCTGAGAATTAGCATTTATATCAATATGAAAAATTGGAGTAATGAACAATCACTCACCATATCGAAATTTTTTCAACCTCTTCATAATTCGTGTCAAAAAGAGGGGGACCATCTAGTCATCTTCCTGTGGCACCACACAACCTGTACACAAACAAAAGAGGTGCAACTGAAACACTACTAGCAAGCCAAGAGAAGCTGCTGCTGCTACTACCCATAGCAAACATTCATACGCCAAAATTCGAGGACTATTTTTCGAGCTCAATTGGTTGCTGGTATGATCCAGAAACAGTAGTAATGGAGAATAAATTATGATATCCTGGAAATTTAGTTGGAGACCACCAATATACCTGGAAAAAGTCTGATCTTTAGATTCCAATATGTTATTCCAAGCCAAAAGCTGGTACAATTTGGTTGTATGGAGGCTGACAGAACGAGAACCTTGGCACGGATTCTTAAGGTGCTGATATAGAGTGTGTACGTGTGTGTAATTTTATGGCAAAATGTTGAATTCATGTTCCTATTTAATTTATTCCCAGTAATTTCTAGCTATACCAGAAAAAGAGCGCAATGCCTAGAGCTGCTGCCACCATGCTACCTCTCGGTCTCGAAATCGAGTTGACACTGACGAAACTTGACGAAACAATCAACTCTCTGAAATAAATACACATCTCTCCCTCATTTTTGTCAAGAATAATAAATGACAGACAAGTAATAATCATGTAAAACATAGAGGAATGAGTAAAAAAAATATGCACATGTATAATGATGCAAAAATTATGTAAAAACATGAAATTGGAGAATAAAAACTTTCTAATTTAGAGACCAACTATTTTTTATTTTATTTTTCATAGATTTTCAATTTTATCATCATGAACAGTTATTTGCTTACTTAGTTACTTATACATGCATAGTTCATAAACAAGTAAAATTTTCCCACATAACTTATTTTAAGCCTAGATAGAGTAAATTGTATAAGCTATTCATCTGTGAAAAGTACCATTAAACTCATGTAAGAAAGTTTCAAAATATTAAATCAATGAGAAAGGATGTGCAAAGAATCACTGGTAAATGAATATATTCTTCAAAGTATGAAGTCAAACCCAGTATTACTAGGACCTTTATAAATTAAAGAGCTCATAATTAATTGTATATATTTTTTATTTCTTCCCCTATATGTAAGCGCATGTATATGTATATTTTTCTTTTAGTTTTTAAATCTTATATGCAAACTCTTCTTCGTTAAGCTTTCTACATAACCCCTTTAGGCCGATGACTCCAAAGTTAGATAACTTATAGGGCACAAGGTATTAAGATATCTTGCAGGCTTAATCACTTAAGTCATATAGGCTACGAAGAAAAGTATAAGATTGTCTTCCAATATTTTATGTAATTCAAAAATTTTCTTTAAAGCTCAAAAGTATTCTTTCTTTTAAAGGGAATATACAAGAGTTTAGGTCAACTAATTTACATGTCGTTCCATATTTAAGGTCAATTCACCACACAGATGACCGCCATCCGGAATTTCAAATACGCGATCAAAACCCACTCACAGCAGTCTAATGTGTGCAATGCATAAGATACATGTAATAACCTATATCAAATACTCCAAATAAGTTCTAAACAAATTAATAGAAATTTAATTTACCATATACAAACTTTACTAGTACTTGATAGCAAAATAACATGTCCAAAAAATATAGAAAATCTTTTCATTTTTCAATTTTTTGTTTAAATTTCATTTTTCAAGATAATAAATAAAATGCAAAACAAATAAAAAAAAGTTTAGAATGCATGAATGAATATGTAGATACCATAAATAATGCAGATGCATGTATCAAACTATCTACTTAATTAGGCATAGAACGCTCTTACCGTGAAGAGCACCGTGATCAGATTCACAATCTTTCAGATCACTCTTCTTCACCTAGACTTTTCGAAAAGCAGAGTTAATTCTAGTCAATTGTTTCATCAACTCGGTCAAGTGACTAACCTGATTAGTAAGGGTCAACCCAGGTAGATATATTCTGGCTTCTATTTCTTTTTAAGTTTGTGACACCTATGTCTTATGTGTCCAGACTCATCACAGTTGTGACACATAGGAGTAAATTTAGGAATAACTACAGGTTTCATATTTTGAACCTTAGATGGAGGGAATCTATGTTGTACAAATGATTTTGGTCCTCAGGCACCTACATTCTTGGTCTTATTCCTATTCAAGAGCTCGCGACAATTAAGTTTTATATGTCCAACCTTACCACAATAGTGATAAGTGGGGATGAACTTGGGCTCTAGGTCTCAAGATTTGAACCTTAGGCATCAAAGTATGTACAAACTTATTTGTCGAAGGAGTAGTATGAGAATTTATTTCATTAAAGCCTGCACCTCTTCTATTCCCAGCTGGTTTGTTCAAACCTATTATATTATCAATTTTCTTAGATCCATTAAAAAAATTTGAAGTTGGGAATTTGATTTTTCAAGTTCACTTGTCAGAGATTTAACATTAACTTCTAAAGGCTCTTTCTCAACCCTTAATTCATTCAAACATCTAATCGACTCCTCAAATTTGGCCATAAGGCTTTCTTTTTCTAATTCAAGTACATTAATATTTTTAAACACAACTTTATTCACTTTCTTAATTTTAAGACTCTCCTCAAATAATTGTTCATAAGCATCCCGAATTTCCATATTACACTCAGATCTCGAATCAGAAATTGATTGA